TGAGTGCATCTCCATGCAACACGACATCATAACATTTGATTATGGGTGGGATAACAATTCAGTCACCGCGTTACTAGTGAAACTACCTTAAACTGCTTTCCATAAAATTTCAGTTTCATTTCATGGAGTTACAAAAGTACTTTTGGTTAGCTGAAATTGCAGCAGGACTGTGTGGGGATGTTTTTTCGTTTTGATGTTACGCATTTAGCATACGCTCATGATATTTTTTTATACTTTTCGCATATTTATGGCTAAATGTCTTTTTATTTAACCTTTATTTTTAACCAGGTATCCTGCAGGCATGAGTGAATCAGCTAACATTGTCATAAGCACAGCACTCTTCATACTCATTATCGTAGACATCACGGGAAACTCTGTTGTGTGCTGGATCATAAGGAGAAACCGAGACATGAGGTTGTTATGATTACCAATTTATGATGTTAGCTATATATGACATGTGATAATATTGCACGCGATGAACAATGACTTTCTAAGGGTAAGGCATCAGTTTGTTGATATGGCCGACAAGACAAAAAATTAACTACTACCCATAGATAGATATCTAGGTTTTTTCAGTGCGAACGGAAATATTAGAATCTAAACGTTCGCAGAATTACAAAGGGTACCGTTGATGCTATTAACTTTTGCGTTATCATTTGTACAGGAATATCGTAAATCATCTACTCGTGAACTTGGCAATCGCAGACATACTATTCGCCATGTTTATCGCCCCTTCAGTTCTTCTCAGACTAACTTCCTTTCACCCAAAAGGCATGATTGCTACAGGTCTATGCAAATTTGTGACAGGCGGCAATGTTGCGTGGATTGGAGCGATTTCCTCGATATTCAGTCTGGTCGCAATTGCTGTTGAACGATATTACGCAGTGATGTATCCCTTTAGTAACAGAGGGAATTTAACGAAGCGTAAGTTAAAGGTGTGTAAAGGTAAATGATATTGCAAACGTTTCAATAAATGTGGTTTAATTGTGTGTAATCGCCACCTAGGCGAAGAATCGTATCGGTGTCCGGACTTGGATGGTCTATAAATAGTATATACTGGCTTAAAAATCAATTATCAAAACGGAATTGAATGTATTTATTCATTGTTGTATGGTATAAAATGGTTGATTGCATTTTATTAGTCGTTCCTCCTCACGAAATGATCTGGGCCGGGTTATTCAAAGCTTGGTCAAGATAACCCAGGGTTAGTGTGAAATCTGGTTTCAGATCTATAAGCTTTTAAAGAAAAATTCAGTACGATTCTTTTTGTCTACAATTTGATGACTGTATGCTCTTGAAAGGGTAGAGGAAACTGTCCCAAAAAAGTCTTTGAACATAGGAAGTAAGAAATTCGGATTAAAATTTAACCCTGGGTTAACGCTAATCCGCCTTCGAACATCTGGGCCCAGAATCTTGCTCAAATAGGTTGAACTGTTTTTAAGGTGATCGTCCTGGTTTCTTGGATCTTCCCAGTAGCATTCAATATTCCCATGTTTCTCATTGCAACCTTCGACAACAAAAAGCAGTTCTGCATATGGAATTGGCCACAGGAGTGGATGCCAAAGGCTTACAGTATGGCCTGGTTGTTCGTGGTTGTCGTTCCTCTGATTTTCATGGTTGAGTTATACTTCAATGTTGTAAGAACGTTATGGTTTAAGCGCCACAGTATTCATCTTTCTCATGAACAGCGGGTGAGAGTAAAGAAATGACTTTCCAGATATTTTCTATTGGCTCATTTTAACTTGTGATCTCCTTTCTTTGCTCTTGATTAATTTTTGCCTAAGTCTCTAAGGTCTCTAAAAATTGTAGCGTAGTCTAGCCTAAGAAATGCAGTTAATGCAACTACTCCCTGAAGAAAGTATTTTAAGTAGTTTTCTACATTTTTTGT